ATGTTCCTTTTCACATTAAGCCCTTGAAAGCCTGTTCGTGTTTCCTGCTTCAGCACATCTCGGTTTGAAGTTGCCTCCTTCTGAGGGCAGAGTGGCCACAAGTGGCTGGTGGCTGTCGTGTTGGACAGTGCAGGTATACTTTTTGTGGATGCTTTTGATACCAAGTGACAGTCCTTTCCACGCCACCTCCGACAGCCTGCACTGGCCACAAGGAGACCGGTGCCCTGCCCTTAGGTTGAAGTCTGAAGCCCAAGGTAAGCAGGCCTGAGCTGCCGAGACCTGCAGTCTGCAGCAGTCTGCCCACGGTGCCCGCAGCAGCTGGAACCCTGGGGGACCCTGGGTGGGCCAGGCCTGAGGGAACCGGAAACACTGCATCCCAGAAGCCCTAGCGGAGACCGCAGGCCTGCTCCCTGGTCTGTGGGCCTCAACGCAGATGTGGCTCAGGTGCTTGTCACTGTGGACCCCGTGGTCCCGGGTTAGACTGGGCAGGTGGAGGGAGCTCTGAGAGGGCGGGGCTCTGTGGGCCTCAGGTTTGGGTTGGTTTACCTGTTTGCCCGACTGGGTATGCAAGCCAGGCCCGGGACCGCGCTGTGCGCGCGCTGAGCTGCACTGGGGTCCCTGGGGAATGTGGAGTCAGTGAGACTGGAGAAGCCTCCCTCTGCAGGTGCTGGAGGCAGGGAGTCTCATCTAAGCTGGAGGCCGAGTCCTTGGTTCTGGGTACTGGGTACCGAAAAGAGGGGTCTCAGGGAGAAGGCTGCCTTCCTGATTCTCCACGTTAGGTCATGCAGGCAGAGGGTGGGTGTGCGTGCCCGCTGCGCACATGAACTCTGCCTGCAGTCCGCTGGAAACCTTTCATTACAGAAAACTGGTTGAGCCAGGCATGGTGGACCACCCAGCACGCAGGAGGCTGAGGCAGGGGGATACCTATAAGTTTGCCACCAGCCTGGGCTACATAGTGAGTTTAAGGCCATCCTGGACTACATAGGGAGATCCTGTCTCTTCCCCCTTCCAACAAATAAAAAATAAACCTGGTCTGTGATGATCTGTCCACATCTTCCTACCAGTTGGTTCTCATCTCTACAAATGGGACTGAGGCTCATACCCACCTGGGAGGGTCGATGAGCGGGTTATGTGGGCCACAGTTTATCAACAGCAGAGCTGAGCAGAGCCTGGGGCACAGTAGATGCTCAGTTAGTGTCTACTCTTACTTTGATGATGTGTGCAACTTGTTTATTTATTTATTTTTGAGATGAAGTCTTACTGAGTTGCCCAGGCTGACCTTGAACTCATGATTCATTCTCCTGCCTCAGCCTCCAAGTAGCTGAGATTACAAGTGCGAGCTGCTGTGCCTGGCTTTTAAATAGCTTTGTGGACACATAATTCACCCACCATGAAATTCATCCATTTAAAGCGTACTCCAGGGGCTGGTGATTTAGCTCAGCAGCAAAGCGCCTGCCTGGCAAGCGCAAGGTCGTGAGTTCGGTTCCCGGTACCGGAGAAAAACCAAAAAAAGACAAAAAAAAAAAAAAGCGTACCCCATAGTTTTTAGTATAATCAAAGGATTGTTCCATGACAACAAAATCTAATTTTAAAACACCCCCCAGCCCATGAGCAGTGGATCCCTCCCCACCCCACAGCCCCAGGCACGTACTGGTCATCTTTGTCCCAGTGCATGCCGATATCTGGGCATTTCCTGCCAACAGGATCCCATCTGCGTGGCGTTTGTGCCTGGCCTGGCTCACGCACGATTGTGTTTGACAGTGGTTGCTTAGATGCATGCGTTTGGGGCGATTTCTGATCATTGTTTCTCATCGCATTGGTGTTTTTAAATCTGTGGGTCAGGGCCAGAGACTTCCTGTGACCTCACAAGGAGAGGCAGCGTGGGGCAGCAGGAAAAACGAAAGCAGACGCAAAACAGAAGCAAGCATGGTAGCACAGGCTGGGCCTCCCACCTCACCAGCTGAGCCCAGCCTGTGGCTCAGTGTGAAGGCCCTGGGTTCAGTGCCTAGCACAGCAAAAAAAAAAGCAAGACAAAAGCCCACACATGCACGCAGATTTTTCTTGCAGACTCCCTGAGCTCACACTGTGGCTGCAGCACCTTCCAGGTTAATAGCTGTGAGCAGGTTCCTGACCCCCCCGTGCCCCGATTGCTCCTCTGTCAAACGGGAAGAGTGTGCCCTGCACGGAGAGGATTCCACAGGAGCCCGTGTGCTTGCTTGTGCACCTAGCCACGGATGACTCGTTCCTCAATAACGATTTCCTGAGATCCCTCAGCTGTCCCTTACAGGACGTTGTTTGTGCTGAAAATGTTACGTGACCGGTACATCAATATTTATAGAGAAAAACTGGAAAATAGAGATGAAGCGAAAGGAAAACAAATTCAGGTGCAGTGGTACATGCCTGCAACCCCAGCTACTCAGACAGCTGAGGCAGGAGGATCACAAGTTGGAGCCCAGCCTGCACTTGTTTCAAAGGGAAGAGCTTGAGATATAGCTCAGTAGTAGAGTGTTTACCTAGCAGGGGTGTTGCTCCAGGTTCAGTCTCCAACACTGGGGAAAAAAAGGTTAAAACGGTCTTAATCCTAATATTTAGATAAGAGTTAATTGCTACCATTTAGAGGAAAATACATATGATTTTAAAATCACTGTATGCATTTGTGTATATTTATATATTTTCCCCCAACATAGCATCAAGCTGCCTAAGTGGCAAGCTGTTTTCAGACGTTATATTTAGACTCTGCTTCTGAGTCAAACCCATAGTTGTCACTTTTTGGGTTTTGAGTCACAGTCTCACTCTTGCCCAGGCTGGCCTTGAACCCCTGGGGCTCCAGCCGTCCTGCTGCCTGAGCCTGAGAGGTAGCTGGCTCTAGAGGTGCCTGCACCTCGCTCACAAAGGCAGCATCTTTGTAATAAAAAGTGGCTAAATGTATTCTTATAAAGTATTTGACCTGTCTGCTTTTGATGGGCACTTAGGTTGAGTAGAATTTTAAGCTATTACAGGTTGAGTGTCCCTCACTTGAAATCAAAATGCTCCAAAATCTGAAACTTTTGAGTGTTGACACAGTGCCACAAGTCTAGGGTCCGTGTACACTAACTTTGTTTCATGCACAAATCAAGAGCATTGTATAACGTTACCTTCAAGCTATATGTATGCATATAGTATATATGAATGTGTGTATCATGTTTATATTTGGATCCCATTCCCAAGATATTTCCTTAAGTAGATGCAAATTTTCCAAAACTTGAAAAAAAAAGAATCCCAATCTGAAACACTTCTGATCCCAAACATTTTGGATAAGGAATATTCAACTTGAGTAAGGCATGCAAAAGGAATCACATTTACGGATTCATCTTTTCGGTACCTTCTGAGTTCCTTTATTTCAGGATAAATTCCCACCAAGTGGGATTACTGAGTCTTTAGGAGATTTTTAATGGTGACCTGGTTCATGTGCAGGAAAGTGATCAGCGTACAGCTCCATGCATTTCCAAGAACACACTTGTGTCACCTGTGCCCAGACCAGGAAATAGAGCATCCCCAGCTCCCCAAGCCCTCCTTTTTCTCTCAAATTACTGTCCCCTCGCAGGGCAGCCACTGTCCTGACTTCTAATGTGTGAAGTGAGTTTTGCCGGGTTTGAGCTTTATGCAGATAAAACCATACCTGCCTGGCTTCTTTTGTTCATTTTCATTGCTGTATACTTTTCCATGGTTTGACTACATCACTTTTAGTACCTCAACTCTTCTACTACCACTGAGCATGGGGGTAGTTTCCAGTTTCAGGTGATTCTGAGCATCCGTGGGTGAACGTGGGCACATGCCTGTGAGGGGCCTACTGGGACTGGGACTTCGGAGCAGTCTGGTGGGCCAGTGTCCTCACGGAAGGACCTGTGATTTAAGGGCCACATTTTCCTTCAGAACAGCAGACATCGCCCCTGCTGGTTACCTAGCCTTTCCAAGGGCCAGTGTCTACATGTGCCACGCAGGAATCCAGCCCCTGCCAGGCTGTCGTGAGGCAGAGATGAGCTAATACGTGGAGACGTGCCCGGCCCGGGTTGGCAGCCTTCATGAGTGTTTCTTAGTAAGCGGCAGCTGCTAGGGATGCTTGCGAATTCTGAGCTGTAGATTCTTGAGATCACAGCGTGAGCCTAAGTAAGGCCCCCGCTAAAAAAGCAGGAAAGAAGGTGACCAGTTGGCTTAGAAATTCGCTGCTTCGGCAGCAGGAGGAGATCCGGGCTGCAGGGGCGGGATGCTGAGAGGACAGTGGGGGGTGGCAGCCCCCAGCACAGCCGCTGCTTCGGAAAGCCTTCCCCGAGCTGGACATGGCCCGGGAGCCAGCCGCGATGGCCCGAGCCCACACCTCAACCACCTGCCAAATTGTGCAGTCTGCAGCCCCCTCCACTGCAGTTTTCAAATGATAAAACCAAGATAGCTGTAAGTCTGCTCCCTTACCCGGCGTTTTCATGTGCAGTGCGGAATGTGAAGTGATACTGTGCATTTCTGCAAATGAGCCCTCCGCATGTGGAATCCAGGCAGCAGCATCTCCAAAGCGGCTCTGGGCAAGAAACCCGGCGGAGGTGAAAATGAGGACCAGGATGATGATGAACGGAGCCGCCGTGTCGGGGCTGCTCAGCCCTTTGCCTCCCACCCCCAACCCCTGAACTCCTCTACCAGGACCGCAGCCGCTTCCCACGCCAGCCTTCTCCCTTCCCTATGCACCCGTCCTCATGCGAAGTCAGAGGGCGGCACCAGTTTCCCTGTAGAAGGCTGGGGAAGGCCGGGGCTGGGACTGGCCTGGGTCCCTGTGTCCCAGGGTGGGTGACAGTGGCAGTAAGGGGTGGGATCTGCAGCAGGACGGGAGATCCCTTTGCTTCCTCCTCCAGCGCTCAGTTAGAAGGGTCACAGCGGCCAGGCGAGGAGGGCAGGACGGTGTTGGCAGCGCCCCTGAGAGCCCTGGGTCCAGCGGTCAGTGACGAGTTTCTTGTTTCTTCTTTCCCCTTTCGCAGTCTCGTCGGACCAGATTGAGCAGCTACACCGAAGGTTCAGGCAGCTGAGCGGAGACCAGCCCACCATCCGGTAAGAGGGCAGTGGGGCGGCGCCGCGCGGGCCCCTGGCTCTCCTGGCGTCTTTGCTTCACCCTTTCTTTGAACGCTGTGTGGCCCCGGAAGAGTCTGTGCACTGCCCCAGTTTCCTTCGTTCTTCTGATTCCCTGGAAGACACCACGTTCCCGAGGAGGGGGGAACAAGGCACGTCTGTTTCTGCTGGCGTCGGGACAAGGGAAGGGGCGTGGAGCGTGGGGGCGTGTAGGGAGCCAGCGGGCACCCCGGCCTTCCCGGCCTTCCTTGTGGGTTGGGGCAGCCTGGACTCCAGCCTGGAATCCCACGCAGACACCGCGCACCTGCTGCTAAGGGCCAGCGCTCTGGCTGCTGAGTGTGCAGAGGTGAGTCGGCCTGGGGCAGCCCAGTTCAGGGCCATTCGTGTTGCCCTGGGCGCCATCCACCCCCGCTTTACAAGCCAAGTATTTAGATAGCATCTGAGTCTACCCTTGTATGGAAGTTCACCTTTCTCAGGGAACAGCTCCTTGAACCGTGTTCTCAGGTACTGGCTGTGTTACTTAGAAGTAGTTGGTGAGAGGTCCTGGTCCTCGAGCTGATTATCACAGAGTGGGGCAGGAAGCTGCAAGCGTAGCAAGCGGAGTTTACAGTGCCCAGTGAATAGATTTCTACCATAAACTTTCTAACAGCTGCAGCGTCCTAGAACACTTAGGGTCTCAAGGTGACAGGCAGTGGAACTTGAAAACAAACCTTTTAATGATCCAGGACAGCTTCCTCCTCCTTAGTAAGCAGACTTACATTTCACCTACCTTTTATGGAAAGTAGTTTGTCTAAACAAAGTCACATTGTTAATCTCGTGCACCCTCCTCTTGTAGCATCAGCTTCAAGAGCTCAGATTCTGATGGGCTCGAGGCTTTTGTGGCCTCTGGTCTCAATGTATCCAGTGTAGGACAAAAGATAATCAGGACCCACGCCTTTAATACCACCGAGGCTCAGCCGCTAAGCCCAGGACAGGACAGGTAGCCCAAGCTGTCTAAGTTACCTGGCTTCCCTTCCGTTCCGATGGGGTCATGTGTCGAGTCTGAGCCAATCACCAAGGCTGGGGGCCAGAAATGCAAATTGGCTTTTTCCCTGGAGTCAGAAGGGCGTGGGACTAGGGATCAGACTCCACCTGCATTTAATTCTTGAGATGTGAGAGCTGCAGAGGCAAATCCCCAGCCTTCTGGAATGAACCTATATTTGAATCCTCTGCCATCAGCTGTGTGGCTTTGTTTCTCTGAGCCTGCGTTCTTGTGTGTAAAGTGAGCATGATTGTTTGAGAGTTGGTTGTGGGCGAGCAGGTGCATGCAGGATGGGCTGGCTCCAGGCGGGCGGAAGCATTTGGCAGATGGGCTGGGTCCCGACCCCACCCACAGAGGCCTTCGGGAGGCTGAGAGTGTGTAGAAGCCCAGGGTGGGGCCGACCAGCGCAGAGGTCACTGAGCACAGAGGACAGCGCACGGAAGGTCCCCTGCGGTCAGAGGGCTGGAAAGGCTTCCTGCTGCAGGTGCGTGATGCCAGGCTCCCACCCACTGCTCCCAGCGGGCCTGGGACTTGGAAATGTGAGCTGGTGGTCCCGTTCTCCCACCCAGGCCCCATCTGTCCCTTTTCTGTACACCCAGCCCCCAGGACTACCCTATGCATTGCTTAACCCTCCTGCTCTTCCTGACAGGCTGGGTGCAGCTGGGTGTGGTGCCGGATGCCTGTAGTCCCAGCCTGCTGGGTTGCAAGTTCGAACCAAGCCTGGGCAATTTAGTAGCTTAGCAAGACCTTGTCTCAGAATAACAAAAAATAAAGCACTGGGGTACAGCACAGTTGCCAAAGCTATGGGTTCGATCCTCAGTACTGAAAAAAAAAAAAGACTCAAAGCTCTTCTGGCCCAGCACGGCAGCCCTCAGTGGCTGCACACCCAGCACATGCCAGGTCTCACTTACAGCCTCCCCCTGAGGCCCACGAAGGTCTGCAGACGCTGGCGATTGCCTTGCTGAGGCCTCTGTGTGGACCAGCTCCTCTGAGACACTCTGCCCCGGCCCCCGCGGCCTCCCTGGGGGCTGCCCCATCCCAGCCTGTGCAGCGTGAGGCAGGAACGGCCGCCAGGTGCCACCCCCAGCAGCCAGCCCCAGGTGAGCGCTTGGACCAGAAGAGGCTGTGGGAGGAGCCGAATGAAGGCGCAGGCCGCAGAGCGAGATCGAGGGCGTGTCACAGTGCCAGGCACACCAGCCCTGCAGTTAGAGCACACGGAGAACCTTTATCCAGACCTCTCATCCGCAAGGGTTTGAGATTTGGGCTTGGGGGGGTGGGGATATCTGCATATTTGTGATAGTGTGTCTTGGGGATGCAGCCCAAGTCTAAACATGAAATTCATATATGTCCCATATACATCTTAAGTGCATAGGTGAACTTTCTTTTATGTAACAAAAAATTTGACATTTTATACTATTTTAAAGAGCGGCATGAAACTGAGTTACCCAGTGTAGAATTTTCCACTCGTGTCATCATGTCGCCTCTCTAAAACTCAGACCGGCAGTATTTTAGAATTGGGTTTTGGGATGAATGACACTCAGGCTGTAGAAACACTTCTCTCAGGGGTCTCTGAGCCCTGGTAAGGAGCGTGCCGGGGGTTGGCGCCCGGGGCCTGCCCGCAGGTGTCGACCACTCGCTTTGGGGCTTGTTGCCTGTGCCGCCCAGCAGGATCAGGTCTCTTCCGTCCTGAGCGCCACAGGAAGCCGTGGTAGGAACGCCTGCCCCTCCCATGTGACAGGTGGGGATGTCAGGCCCGGAGAGGCTGCGTGGGGCCCCTGAGTCACACCGCTTAAAAATGGAGGGGCTGGGACTTGAACCAGGGGCTGAGATCCGTTCATAAGGAAGCCGTGGGCATCCCCTAGACGTTGGGTCTCCCTGCTCAGCCTTCAGTTGTGTGTGTGTGTGTGTGTGTGTGTGTGTGTGTGTGTGTGTGTGTTTATAATTCCTGCTCCCACAGCGCTGCTCTCCGAGCCCCAGAGGCAGTGGTGAGATTCGTGTCCGCGGCACACAGTGACAGCCTGGGACCAGCCTGTAGGAAGGTGACTGACCACAGTGTCTTGTGCAGACACCTGGGGAAGGGGCCCCTCCCAACTCTCTGCCCAATCCTGATTGGCCCCGTGGCCACCGGCAACACGTGTGGTTCCCGTGACTTTTCCTGACATGAGGATCTGGACGTCAGCGCTGCCACACTCCGCCAGCGGTTTCCTGAGTGACCCTGGCTGGGCGTTCAACCTCCCCTGACCCTGGGCGCACCGGGGCTGCTGTGGGCCAGGGCTCCTCGGCAGGGAAAATTCATTTCCTTAGGTTTAGAGCCACTTTGTGAAACCCGGCCAGGCCAGAGATGGTTCACCAGACGAGAAAGACTGCTGGGCTTTTGAGGCCCCAGCCCAGTCCATGCGGGCATGGGGTGCAGCTCCCGGTGCTTCCTCCTCTCAGACGCAGAGGTGCCCCTGAGCTTAGTAGAAACCCGTGAGGAGGCTGTGGGTTACCTCATGGGCAGAAGGCTCCTTAAACATGATGGCCCAGACCCACAGGGATTACGGGTGTGCTAGTAAGATTTGCAAGTTGCATTTAGAAGCTTAACAAGAAGCAGAGCTGGGCATGGCCCAGTGTAGAATGGTCACGCAGTGTGCTCAAGGCCCTGGGTTCAATACCTACCACTTCATAAACCAGCGGACAGGGGGGTGTTCTAAATTTTCAACTTTAATAAACTGAATATAGCTTTTTAGTGTTTATATACAGTGGGATACTACTCTGACATTTAAAAAGATAAATCTGAGTCATTTGTAGGAAAATGAATGCACCTTGAGACCATGACAGGTGAAATAAATGAGACACATAAGCTTAAAAATCACATGGTTTCTCTTTATGAGAGACCCAAAGTGTAAATAATTTAAAAGCAAAATAAAAGACAGATAGATGATTGGGAACAGGGAGGTAGAGCTTTCACAGGTGGGAAAGGATCTAAGGATGGAGGGGGAGGGAAGAGAGGACCAGGGCAGGTGATGAGGACTAAGACGCGCCACAGCCCCCCATGGTGCCTGTGCTTGTTACATACCACAAACGCGTCCTGAAAAATGAAAAAAGATCCACAAGGTAAAAAGCCACCACCAACTGACTGTAATTGTCTTGGTTACTTTTCTCTCGTTGCTGAGACAAAATACCTGATGGCCAAAATGAAGGAAGGAAAGCTTTATTTAGCTCACAGTCTGTGATGGTTTCAGTCCATACTTGGCTGGCTCCGAGGCAGAGTGGCACGTGGCAGAGGGCTACTGTTCATGGCTGTGGAGGACAGCAAAGCAGCAAGTGCACAAGGGAGGAGGGGCGGCCAGCAGCCGCTTTCCCACCCTTACACTGCAAGCAGGCTGCCCCCACCCAGGGGGTGTGCAGCATTCACACTGACGCAGTGAGCAGCATCCAAGAGCAAGAAGGGCGTGTCCTTTTCCCCCAACATGGAGAACTGCTGAGTCGCTTAGCCAAACCGCTGGAATCCCCGAGTTCACACAATGTATCAACCATAACAGTAATTTTAACCCAGCATTTTTTACCGTGTTTGGTATTGACCCTTCTTTCCAAAAGTCATCTCAGGATTTCCGGGGAGCCTTCACAGCCTGCTTCTAGCGGGGGGGTTCTTTTAACTTTTGAGTGCGTTCTTTATAAGGCCCAGGATCTAAGTATTTTAAAAATCATAGCGTTTGTTCCCAAACAACCTATGCTTTGGGAGGATCTTCAAACCTGAGTCCACTGGACCGGGAGCTGGGCAAGCTCTTGGCAGAATGCTTGCCTGGGAAAATGGCCCCTGTGTTTACTGAGCATCTGCTATGTATGCAGTTCCCCTCCCTGCCTCCGGAAGCTTCCCAGGGAGGAGAGGCCCTCAGCGTGGAAACCTGTGGGAAGGTCAGGCCCTGAGAAAGTGAAGAAATACAGTAATGACTTCCTGTGCTTTTTCTTCCTCTGGTTGGGCCACTTAACTGATGACCAGCTCGGCAGCGTAGAGCTTTCTCCTTGTCCCCTGGCAAGCTTCCAGACACTCAGAATAGACACTGTGGCATGCTGCAATCGTAGAGTTGCGGGCCCTGAGCATGCCTGGTCACACAACAGCGTACAAAAGTATTTTTAGACTCAGGAGGCCTTAGAGTGGGGAGCGATCCCGGGGTAAATGCAACCCCGCATGTGCATGGGAGACCCCGCACATGCGTGGGAGGCAGCTGACCGTGTTTGTGTTTGGACTCCGTCAGAGTGCACAGCCGCATGTTCTCCTGGGCTGGACAGGGCCCCCGCTAAACATCCCGTCCCCAGGGCCCATCCCGCTGCCCTTGCCGTGAAGCAGCCCCGACCCTGCTCATCCCCTGGCAACTAGAGGAGGCGTAGGCGGGAGCCCGACCTCCAGAAGCTGAGTGCCAGCAGGTGCCTGGGTCAGGCTCTCCCCAGTGGTTGGAGACTCATTCCTTCATCCCCATTTTGTAGGTGAAGAAACTGAGGCTGGAGAGGTTAAGATCACACAGCAGGGCTGGGGTTCAAATACAGAACTGCCATCGCAGCTAAGTTGCCCAGGCTGCCCTTGAATTTGGCAATCCTCCAGCCTCAGCCTCCCGAGCAGCTGGAAGTACAGGTGTGTGTCACCATGCTTGGCGGGCATACGTCCTTTCGCTTTTACCCTGCCTAGACTGTGGCCCTACTGCTCAGGGATTGCTCTGTGAGGCTGGAGGCCCCAGGGGCCACCGGGCTGCTCTGCCGTTGTGTCAGCCCCGTGAGTTCACAAGTGCTTCCTTCAAAGCCTCAGCAAGGATGTTGCACATTTATTTGAAAAGAAAAACCTGCAGTTGCTTGAAAAACTGCCCTGAAAAGGAAGCGGGCTGGGAAGCTGGCGAGGGTGGCGGCGGCGAGGGCGGGGGTCAGGCAGGAAGCGGCCCCTTTCTCTGCGGCTGGGTGTGACGCCTGGCTTTCTCGGAGACCCTGCGGGGGGCGGGGCGGCTCCCACCCTCCCGCCCGCGGGGACAGAGGGCTGTGTCCCTTGGGACTCTGCGCGGGGGCACTGGGGAAGGCGCCCAGAGGGACCGTGAGACGCCGGAGCAGAGAAGGAGGCTGTGGGGCCGGGGCTCCAGACGGAGGCGGCGGAGCTCTGCAAGCCCGAGTGGCGGGAGGGAACCTGAGGGTCACAGCGCCGTCCTGGTTACACTCTCGGGGCTGCGTGCCGTCCTGCGCTGGAACGGCAGCTGGGTGTGAGCTCGCAGAGGCGCCCACCGGGCTCTGCAGTCTCCGCGCTCCCCCGGCGCCGCGCCGGCTGCGGGAGGTGCCGGAGGCCGTCGGTGCGCGTCCCCGAGACCCCGAGCCGTAGCGGCCCTGCGGTCACCCTTGGGGTGCCCCTCTCCCTGGCCTGTTTCCGGTCCACCTGCCAACCCTGCTCTTCCTCCAGGACTCCGGGGTCTCCCTTGTCCCGCTGACGCCCAGCCCCACCCACCCCAAACTGCCACTGTCGCCCGCTTCGGTCACCCCAGCAGCTCTTCCCTCGTTTGAGTAGTTGCCTGCAAAGACACAGGCCAAACATGGCGCCAGCCCTGCAGGCCTCAGTTTCCCCAGTGAGAGAAGCATCAGGCGCTAGGCAGTGAGTGCGAGGGGCCGGCGGGCCGGTGGCCGTGAGGAGGAAGGGCGGTCCTCGCCCCTGTGGGGTCCTGGCCCGGTGGCCAGCAGGATGCCGGGCACCGTCCGCTACCGGCTCAGCACAAGCCCCGCCTGCAGAGCCCTGCGCGGCGCGCTGGCCTCACAGGCACCGGAAGCCAGGCCACGCTGCTGAGGAAGAGGCCAGCCTGGCCCCTGCGCTTGTGTTAGACTTGTCCTTTCCTTGTGGCCGGAAGCTCCTCCCGCTGTGTCCCTGGGTCCCGGATGGGGCCTCCTGGGCTGGGAGCTGGCGGAGTAGGTGCTCCACGCAGAGCTGCCTTGTTCTCTCTTTCAAGACAGTGCTCGCAGCCCAAAGGGGAAGTGTGGGGAGGAAGGGCCGGGTTGGCCAAGACTATGCTGGCCGTGTGACTGTGACTTAATCACCTTGCCTCTCTGGGCCAGACTCGAGGACTCCCCTATGAATGGGGTTGTTTTTTACTGTCCCTCGTGGGTGGGTGTGTGGGTGTGATTAGCACAGCCTGGCATGGTGAGAGCCCTTAGGGACTTAAGGGGGACATTTTAAAACCCCCAAGAGCAGCTGGGGATGGTGGTGCACTCTTGTAATCCCAGTACTCCAGGAGGCTGAGGCAGGAGGATTATAAATTCAAGCCTAACCTAGGCAGCCTAATGACTAGGGAGACCCTGTCTCCAAATTAAAAATTTTAAAAGGGCTGGAATGTAGCTCAGTGTGAAGGTCTTGGCTTCAATTCCCAGTAGCTGTCCCTAAGGGAAAAAAAAAAAAAACCTAAAAAAAAATCCTGGAGGTGGCGTGGCAGGTGTGCGTCCCAGGAAACCTTGCAGGCAGACGCCCTGGTCAGAGACGGTGTCACTGGGCCACCAGCGGGTCACTGCGAGTGAGTCCAGCCCCAGCCCCAGGTGAAGCAGAGCCTTCCCCATGCTGGACACCTGTGGCTGAGCCAGCGGAACCAGCCCAGCAAGCACCTGGGGGCGGGACCGAAACCAGCATCCCCAGCCCTGTCGCCCGCGCTGCCCCTCCCCGTAGCCCACCGGCCTGGCTCCGGCTGTGTTCTTGTTGGCGGGGCGGTGGCAGGCATCAGGGTGTCCCCGAGGACCCGAAAGCAAGACCTCAGCTGTCCTCGGGCCGGGGCTTCCACGCTACAGCCTGCATGAGCGGGTCAGTATCGCTCTCAGCAGGAAGAAGTTTCTTCACCTGTCTCAGTTTCCCCATCTTAAAATGGGTACAAACGCCTGCCTTACGGGGCTGTTGTCCCTGCAGAGTGGGCAGCGCTCTCGGACCGGTATGTGGCGGGTTAGCTGACACTGTCTTTGTCAGAGTGCCTGACGCTGAGTCACAAGCGTGGCATGGGTGATGGGAGGTTTCCTGAATCCGAGCGTCTCCCCGCATGACCTGAGCAGGGGGTCCGTGTGAGCGCTCCGTGTGAGCGTGTTCCTCCTCCTGTGGTCCCAGCACGGGGGACACCTCTGCCGCTGAGGTAGCCCGAGTGTGCAGCTGGAAGAGCGTTCCTCGGCCTGCCCGGGGTCCCCGGCCCAGGGGCTGCTTGTGCCCGTCCTGGTCACTGCACAGGGGCGGTGAACCCCTCCCCAAGCCTGGCTGTGGCTTCCCGTGGGCGCCTCATGTTCCTGTGAGGTGCACGGGTTAGCAGCTTTATGGAGCAGAACTCACCCTTTATTTTTTTGGTACTGGGAATCGAACTCATGACCTTAGGCCTGCCAGGCAAGTGCTTATGCCGCTGAGCTACATCCCCAGCTGAGCTACATCCCCAGCTGAGCTACATCCCCAGCTGAACTCACCCTTTCAAGGGGTCAATTTTAGAAGCACTGGGGCTGGGGATATAGCTCTGTGGCAAAAGCACTTTGCCTGGCAAGCGCAAGGTCATGAGTTCAATTCCCCGTACCGAAAAATGAGCTTGGTGTGCCTGGTGCCCGCTGGTCCCTCTCCACGCCTGCCGGCCCCTCTCTGCCTCTCGGGGGTGGCTTGTTTGTGCTGTTGCTGGAACAGCGTTGCATGTGTTATGTAGCCTCTGTGGCTGGCTCCTCTCATAGCACAGTGGGTGGGTCTGGGGTTCATCCGAGTAATAACAGGTGCCAGTGCTTATTCCTTTGGCTTCCACTGTTTGTCTTTGTGTTTTTGGAGATGGATTCTTGCTGTTGCCCAGGCTGGTCTTGAATTTCTGGGCTCAAGTAATCCGGCTGCCTCAGTCACCCAAGTAGCTGAGACTACCTACGGGTGCTTGCCTCCATCCCCAGCTTCTATCCTTTTTATGGCCAAAAAATTTCCATGATTTCTTATGGCCTCATACTATCCTGTCACCCTGGGCAACTGTCCTGACTCTGCCTCCTTCCTTGGAACTGGACTCGTGGGAGCCTAAAACAGCCCTGGGCGCTGACGCTGGCTCCTTGGTTTGGCCAGGCGCCACCAGGCAGCTCAGCCCCGAGGGAGGGGCAGGAAGCTGCTGCCAGAGAGGAGAGAACAGGAGAGAGCTGGGGTCGGGCCTGCCCTGCTTGTGCCTCTTGGGCCTCGGCCTCCTTCCCACTGGTCCCCAGCCCCTGACAGTCGCTCTTCTGCCTTCTGCTCTGTGGCTTGGGCTGTTCTGGACCCTTCACTTAAGTGGAATCTTATACCATGACCCTTTGTGTGACTGGCGTTGTCACTTAGTGTCATGCCTTCAAGGTTCCTCCAGGTTGTAGCAGGGGCCAGTACTTTGTTCCTTTTTCATGGCTGAGTTGTATTCCACTGTATGGACTGACCTCGCCTTGTCCATTTATTAGTTGGCAGATGTCTGGGCTGTGAGGAATGTCACTCTGAGTTCAAGGACAGGCGGGGTGTGACTGGGTCATAAGATGACTCTGGGTTTGGCTTCTCAAGGCTCCTCCAGACTGCTGTGCAAAGCTCTAGCTGAGGCTGCCGGTGGGTGTCCAGAGCAGTCTGAGGATCGGTCTCTAGGGCACAAATCCACGCTTCTGTGCATGTCGGGGTTGTCTGGTCTCTCTGGGGTCCTGCTCCTGCCCAGGCTGCCGGCGAGAGGAGGGCGGGTGAATGTGGGGCTCCAGCTCCATCTCTGAGCTGTTTCCGAGGGGCCCGGCAGGGATGAAAACTACTACTTGACCTGCGACATGAACGCTGTCTGACATGCACTTTCCCTTGTTCTTTTCCCGGTCTCTCCTTGAAACCAGCAAAGAGAACTTCAGCAACATCCCTGACCTGGAGCTCAACCCAATCCGTTCTAAAATTGTCCGTGCCTTCTTCGACAACAGGTGGGCTCTCTCCCGGGCTGGCCGGAGGGCAGGCCACCTTGTCCTCTGCAGCTTTGCGGGGCACCCTGTGCTCAGAGCAGCCCTGTGAGCACGTGCAGATGCTGGGGCCATTTGGGTTTGGGGCCAGACTGCTCTGGGTTCACAGCTAGGTGACTTTGGGCAGCTCACTTGGCCTCTCTGAGTTTCTGTATCAGGTAGCTCTGGCTGTGTAACAAGTGACCCCAATTTCACTGGTTTCTTTTTTGGGGGCAGGGTGCTGGCATGGAACCAGGCCTCATGTGTGTTAAGTAGATATTCTGCCACTGAGCTGCACCCCATACTCACACTTAGTGTTTATTATCCCATCATTGTGTAGGCCAGGAGACTGGGTGTATACAGGGTCTCTTATGAGCTTTAGCCATGGTATCTCCTGGGCTGAGGTCTCACTGCTGACCAGGTCATTCCTGTGGCTGGTGGCTGGGGCATCTCCATGCAGGGACCCAGCTGCCTCCAGGGTGAGACATCCGATGATGATGAGGACAGAGGACACCTGATCTCAGAAGCTGTCCCCTGATCCTTCTGTGTCTCCATTAGTAGTGAGCCATTAGGCCACTGCACACTTGGAGAAAGGACATCGTGGGGACACCAGGAGGCCAGGGTTATTGGGGGCCATCTTGGCGGCTGTCTCGGTTTCCTCATCAGGAAGATGTGGCCTTCTGGGGGCTGCTGGGGTGAGGTGTAGGTCAGGGTTAAAGTGAAAGAGTCTGGTGGCCAGGAGGGAGACTTGTGGCATCTGAGGCCATGCAGATGGGTGTGGTGTGGGCTGCCAGGCCTGTGGGCAGGTGCAGCAGGTGGTCACCCGTTCACTGTGATGTCCCATGGCCACCGATCACAGAGAAGGACAAGCAGAAAGGATGGAGGGGACATAGGCGTGTTATGGCCCCAAGGCTGTGGGACTTCCTGCTGGGCTCTGAATCCTGCAGCCTCTTCCACCAGCTCTGGTTCTGCCAGGCCCTGAGCCCCGAGAGCCTCATGTGGGGCTCTGATTGTTGCTGATGGGGGGCTTGGGTTACTCCAGAAGATGCAGGGGTCTCGCTCTAGGTCCTGTCTGAGGATAGTGACCAAGAGTCAAAATGGCAAAGCAAGGAGTGGGGGTGGTCCTGGCAGCTGTGCTGTACATGTAAAGGCCCTGTGGTACTCATGAAGCTGGGGGGGTGGGCAGAGAAGCTGGGCAAGCACGAAGACCAGGCACAGTGACATGTGGGGGCAGGGCTGCGTCACAGCGTGTGCAGCCATCAGGTGAGGTCCCCTAACTTAGCAAGAGTCACAGGACACTGATGGCTTTCATTCGGGGTGAACCAGGCTGTCTGCGGAAATCTCTCCAGCTGCCTGCGAGCTGTAGACATGGGCATGGGGACAGAGGCCAGCGAGGGGCATCTTGCAGCCTCCTGAGCTTGGGCCAGGGCTGCCGGGCGGCAACTAGGGGGCGGGGCAGTATGCTTTCTGAACCCCTGGGAGGCGCAGGAGGGCAGGGTGCTGGGGGCAGGGCAGAGGCCCAGTCTTCACAGCAAGTCATCCCTGGAGTCACAGTCGCGCATCACTGGGCCGCGCTTTATTTTGACGGACATTGTTTTTCAACCATTTTAAATCCTAGCACTCTGGGAGGCTGAGGCAGGACAAGCATAAGTTTAAGCCCAGTGTGGGTAACTTAATGAGACCCTGTCTCAAAATTAAAACTAAAAACAAAGTTAGATAGCAGGCCCTGGGCTGTAGTTTGCAGATCCTTGAGTTAAATAAAGGTTCAGGAGATGGTCTTTGGGTGAGTTACTAGATTGCTCAGTGCCTCAGTTTCCCCAAATGTGAGTGCCTGTCTCTGCACCGTAACCCCCATGTCCCTCGATCTCCGCCCTTGACCAGGCCTGCGATGGCCTCTCCCCCTTCCTCCCTCCGAAGCTCCGTGCCAGGGCGGGGCCGGGCCTTTATATTCCTGCCGTCCCCAGGCCATCACAGAGCAGGACCTCAGGACCTGAGCCAATCCCGCGCGTGTGCAGCGCAGCCCAATCCCCCAGAGCTGCAGCTGTGGGAAGATGCAGCCCAGGTTTCAGCTGCTGAGCAGCACCTCCTCACTGCTCCTGTAGGAACCTGCGCAAGGGGCCCAGCGGCCTGGCCGACGAGATCAACTTCGAGGACTTCCTGACCATCATGTCCTACTTCCGGCCCATCGACACCACCCTGGGCGAGGAGCAGGTGGAGCAGTCCCGGAAGGAGAAGCTGAGATGTGCGTGCCCCGGAGAGTGCTCGAACGGGGGCTCCCGCGGAGGGGCGGGGAGGGGACGGCAGGGTAGTTGCAGGGTGTGTCCCCTCCTAAGCTGTGCCTTGTTGGCCTCATGAGCAGGTCAGCAGCGTGCGACCTCCTGAGACTACAAAGCGGGTCACGGGGTGATGTGGTCCAAACAGCCCTGGGGCTCAATGGGTGGCCCGAACCTGGACGTGGGTCTGTGGGCTGTGGAGTTGAGGACGCCCGCACAGAACCCCGGAGCAGGGCCGGCTCTCCAAGGCCAGGCTCCTGTCCCTGGGAGCAGGGTCGGGGCAGCCTTGGCCCTGGAGGAGCTGTCGCTATTCGTGGGCTCCGGAGCATGGTTGCTCACAGTCCAGGCCGGCCAGCCACACGGGCTCAGCGGTGGCCGGCCGAGTCACATCTCCTTTTTCCCCTGTGGACTTTCCCACGACTTCTGCGTCCCTGTCTGTGCCACCCTGGCCTGGTCTCGTGGTCAGGAAAACATCCACATGGGTGCCTGCCTATCTTTAGCTCTGGAATGTGTTGTGGGGCTGGTGGGAACCTCGGGCGGGTGTCCCAGGCCTCCCGAGTCCCTCTGCCCGGGCCCACACCCGGTGTCCCCACAGCTTCTGTCTGCTGTGAGGGCCGGTGGTGGCTGAGGAATGGATACAGACAGCTCCAAACCCGTTTTGCTGCCCCTTAGGCGGGTGGCCATGAGCAGACGGCTTGTGTGGGGCCCGAGGCCAGTCTGTGAGGTGACCTCACGGGGTGTGGGTGGGGATGAGGTGATGTGACAGGGAGGCCCCCTGCAGCCCGGGGGCCCCTCAGCGCAGCCCGGGACCAGGACATGGGCAGCGGGCCTGTGACCAGCGTTTGGAGGTAACACGGCCTGTGTGGTTGCCTGTGGACGAGACACCCTGGCATTGCCACCCGCGTTCAGAGTGACAGGAGACCCCAGGGCCGTTGCCCCCAGCCCTTGCAAGACCACGAGGCAGACGCTGTTCTGCTTTCCGCAGATGGGATGCGGGTACAGGGGAGCTGAGTCACTTGCCCACGGGCAAGGTCATCCCGCAGGAAGCGGCCTGTCGGGCCCAGGCCCCACGGCGGCGCCCTCGCTCCCTAAGGTTTCGGCAGCCAGGTTCCCCCTCGACGTCCGGTGCTCAGTGGGCTGTGGGTTTCGGAGCGGAAGCGGGGCTGCGGGGACCCAGCTCTGCTCCCGTGCAGCTCTGGGCCTCGCCTCGCTGAGGCCCCCTCTCTCTCGCTGCCGCCAGTTCTGTTCCACATGTACGACTCAGACAGCGATGGCCGCATCACCCTGGAAGAATATCGAAATGTAAAGTATGCTCCTGCACCCTGCCCTGGGCTCCAGGCGCCTTCCCCCCTTTGACCCTGACAGAGGCCCAAGGTCACCATGTGTCTCCGCCGCACCCGGCAGGTGGTGGAGGAACTGCTCTCTGGAAACCCCCACATCGAGAAGGAGTCCGCGCGCTCCATCGCCGACGGCGCCATGATGGAGGCGGCCAGCGTGTGCGTGGGGCAGATGGTGAGCGCCCCTGGGGTCGGGGAGGGAGGGCAGGGAGCACAGGAACGACCTCCCACATGGAGGTCTCCTCCCTCGGCACAGTCTGCATTTCCCGAGGCCTCAGCAGGCAGGAGGAGCCTCTCAGTCCCGCGCCATGCTCCGAGAGGCCTGGTTGGAGCAGAGCGCAGAAGCCCCCAGCTTCTCCTGACCCCAGGAGACCGCAGGTCCCAACCTGTGAAGAGTAGAGCTCGGGCTCTGGGGCTCGGGAGGTCCCTGCGTGGCCTCACTGCCCCAGTCAGGGGTGCACAGGGCCGGGGCTGGGCGGAAGACAGCACGGGTCGCCTGAGACACCGTTTTCTTGATGAATGACACTGTTGACCCAGGATCTGTAGCCTTGAGGCAGGGGTCCGCGGGGCCGCTCCTTTGGCTGAGGAGACCCCTGGCCCGGGGCGAGGTGGTGGCTGCTGTGTAGGCAAAACAGAAGCCAGGCCTCAGCCCTCGCGTGTGGATCACCTTGTACATTCTTAGCCATGTTTTGTTGGGGAAACTGAGGCTCAGAGCGCATAAGGAATTTTGTGGGCTTGTCATCTCTCCTGTGCCGGGTGGTCCTCCTCTTGTGGGGCCAGGTCTGGCCCACCAGCCCTTGAGGACCGCTGAGGCAGGCAGGTGACCCTCTCGATGGACTTGGTTTCCACCAAGGGTCTCCCCCGTGCCCTCGTGTTGAAAGTGGTGTGCGTAGGCACGGCCAGGTGGAGGCCATGCAGTTTGTGCCCCAGGCCTGTCACTGCCCCAGGGCCCTTAGTGGCCTGTAATATTTTATCCGTCTGCTGCTTGGCCCTGGAGGGAGGCCACTAGCTTTGGCGTAACTGCCCCACTCGGCAAATTACCCGCTGGGGAAGGGCTTGTGACCTCAGTGGAGTCAGCAGGGATCCCCTGCCGGGTGGTGGAGCCAAATTCCCATTTCATTTAATTACATTCTCCTTCAAATTGCTCCCTGTCCTACTCCAGCTGCAGTTGGCGACAATTTTCTTAATTTGGGGTAGTAAAATTGTTGGCCGCTGGTGCCTGCTGATGTGCAGCAGATCCGAGCAGCCTCAGAAGCCCGGGCGTCCCTGGCCGAGGCCTGGTGTCAGGGTTCAAGTGCGGTGGCTCACAGTTCTAGCAGGCAGAGACGGGCCGTGGGACACGGTCACTGACCGCACAGGTCTCTTACGCACTCTCTGCGCGTGTTTAATTACGTTCTGGTGCAAACCACAGGCCAAGCTGAGGGCAGGGGTGGCCGCGGCCGCTCAATAGCATCTGGCCTCTGAGGACACTTGACATTTCTGACCACGCCTCGCCGAAGACAGACACTCCACAGTCCCCGCTTTCATGGACTTCCACTGACAGGGCTGGCTGCTTTCTCCTAGTGCTTTCTGTAGAGGCGATGCTCGTGGAATGACCTAGTGGCTGGGGCCAGCCCAGCGCTTCCCACCCCACCCCTCCCGGTGGGCGCCTGCCCTCTACCTTGGTCTCTGGGCTGTCGTTAGCTGCCCTCTGCCAGCCGGGGGCCCTGGAGCCACTTTTTTCCTGGCCCCTTAGAGGAAAGAAGAGGGACCCCTACCCTAGGACACGGCTGGCCCGGTGGTTTTTATGAAACATTTTAAATAACAAGAAGCCCGAAGGGTCCAGAATCCCACTCCTCAGCAGAAGTTGTCACGGGGCATGGCCAGTGCTGCTTTTCCCAGCGCTGCAGGATGAATGACCTGGCCTTGCTGTTGGCCGTCTATAGTGTGGGAGCAAGGACGGAGCCCCAGGGAGGGCGGCATCGTCAGCATTCTGTGTTGTCACCCTGCTGCCGCATGCAGTTGGTGCAACTGTCATTTTCTAAGATGAGTGTGTTGTGCAGGGTTTCAGGGAGGTGCAGAGGGACTGAGACACTCCTTGCCCTTTGCCCTGACCACACAGTCCCCTTCCTGCAGGGAACCACGGGGCGGCGGGGGGCTTTCCCTACAGATGCCTGCATGTGCCGCATGACGTGTGTGTGTGTGTGTGTGTGTGTGTGTGTGTGTGTGTCGGGGGTGCTGGGGATGGAATGCAGGGTCATGTGCTTGCTAGGCAAGCCCTCCACCACTGAGCTGCACTCCCAGCTCTTCTTATTTTGAGACAGGTCTTGCTAGATTACCCCGGCTGATCTTAAACTCACACTCATCCTGACTCAGTTTTCTGAGCAGCTGGGATCACCGGTGTGTGCATCTGTGCTGAGCTTGACCTATTTATTACTTTAATGTTTAATTTGCAGTGCTGGCGTAGGACCCAGGGCCTCATGCATGCTAAGCACGTGCCCTGCCCTTTTGACTTCGAGACAAGACTCACTAAGTCGCCTGGGCCAGCCTTGAACTCTCAGTTCTCTTGCTTCAGCCTCCTGAGTAGCTGGGATGACAGCTGTGCACCACTGCACCTGGCTTGAGTTTTTGCTTTTGCTTTTGTTTTGGTTTGTGGTGCTGGGATTGTGCATTCTAGCCCATACTCTGCCACCGAGGTCCACCCCAGCCCCCACTTTGATTCACTGGAAATGGACCCGACCCGATGAGGGCTCCATCTTCCCCGTGCAGTGGCTGCACATGTGACATCCGCAGGCGACTCCTCTTGTTGGGGTTCCTGTTTCTCCTTCCACTGTGCATGTATCTCGGAGCCTTTTCCACAGTGGCACATGGAGAGCAACCGTTCTTAATGGCCATGTGGTGACCATATGTGAACCACGCAGACCTATTGACCAGCCCATTGGTGATGGGCACCTGGGCTGCTGGCCGAGCGTACAGTCACGAGGGGGCTTCTGGGAGTTTTTAGAGATGTCTAGCTGGAGCCCAAGAGCAACGGACAGGAGCCCCTGTCATACAGTGCCCATGGGGTGGGAAGGACGCAGCTGGAGACTGCCACTACCACTGCCACTGCTCTGAGGTGGGAAGCCCTGGGGCCAAGCCGGGCCACCTCCCTGCATCTGGACGTTATCACGGTGACTCACAGCACTAGGGTGGGTTGCAGAGACCAGCCCTGTGTTCCTTCGCCCCTTGCCCCAGTGGTCTGTGAGTCTTGATTAGCCTCGTTCTTATCGATGGGGGACCCAGGGGTGACAGGAGGTGTCTCTGGGTGGCCAGGCTTTGGGGGCCAGGGGATTTGGGCTGGGTGGGGAAGGAGGGCCAAGCCTCAGGCCACCCTTTCCCTATCAGACCCTCCCTGGGAGCTGGGGCCCTGGTGAGCCAGCACCAGCCTCAAGCAGGATGTTGGGGTCCAGAGAGACGGGCCTTGGCCAGAGGCTGAGTTCCCTCCTTTCCCGTGACTCTAAAGCAGCCCCAGCTCCCTGCGTGCGGGGCATGGGGAGGAAGGAGGGCGGTGATGCAGGAGCTGGGCGAGACCAGCTGTTCACGCTGTGCCCTGCACTCTCCCCCAGGAGCCGGATCAGGTGTACGAGGGGATCACCTTCGAGGACTTCCTGAAGGTTGGTGCCAGGAGGAGATGGAGGGCCTGGGTGTGGGGGTTCCGGGGCACCCTAGGACCTCACGGAGCTGCGGTCAGGAGCTGTGGCTCTTACCTGCGGCCACCGCATGCATACCAGGGTGATCGGCACCTTGCTGTCGGCGCAAAGGTCTTTAAAACAATGTTAACTGGTTTCATTTATTTTTATCAAAAAGGCAATATTTGGACATGGTCAGAGCAACTTAAGCGGTCCACAGGGTGGAGAATGAAAAGTCTGTTGTCCCTGCAGGGCCCCAGTGGCCCTTCCCAGGGGCACCCAGCCCTGCGCACAGTGGAGCAGAGCTCCGGCGCTTCCTGTGCCCGGCTGCACACAGTTCTGCAGGAGCACAGGCGAGCACAGGCTGCTGCTCTGCCTTGCTTCCTCGCTGTGTCCTGATATCATTTTCACACAGCCACCCACACGCCCTTCCCCCCCCACCCGTCACGGGCGTTTGGTCTCCTGCCGGCCTTCGCTGCTACAGACGTGCGCTGTCCGTCAGGGTGTTGGGAGGCTGGGAGAAGGACCTGCCTACCTCTGGCCCTGAACATTCCCCAGAACAGCATCTCCATAGCTGTGTTGGGAACCGAGGAGGAGGAGGAGGAAGAGGTCAGCAAAGGATCCCCAGGCTGCACCAGAACTTGGGCCTGGGCCTGGAGTGGGGCTGGGACCTCAGGGGATCCCAGGGAGCCAGCATGAGGGGGCGTCCTCCAAGCCTGCACCTCGGACTCGGCCAGTTGCTTGCCAACATACGGGCCCATAGCAGGGCAGGCAGTGTAGACCCAGCCATGAAGGGAAGCCCAGGAGGGGACAGCTGGGCCAGAGGTCACAGCTTTGTTCCATGAAGATGTCCCGACCCAGGACCTGGCAGGGTGGACACACAGGGAGAGGCCAGGCTGTGCTTGTGTGAAGAGGCACTGGCTGTGCAGAGACTGCTCATCCAGGAGTGACTCCTGAGCAAGACAACAGGATCGGGAGTTCAGAGACCAGAACTTTGGGACAGAACACAAGAGGAATTTCCTCTACTCAAAAACCAGCTGCTTCTCCCTGGAGGCTCCGCAGGCCCATCCTTGTGCCTGCGGCCTCCTTCATGACAGGCCAGCCTCTCCTCCAGCCCCTGGTCCCTTCCAGTGCCCTTAGCAGCTGCGTTGCCGCTCGGCACTTAGTGGAAGCCACCCTGGGGTCCAGGTGCCTCTCCCTGAGGACGTCTTGTCCACCCCACAAGGACTGAAGCTGCTTGGCTGGAACCAGATTTTTCTACGTGTCCCTTACAACACGCAGGCCGGGGGCAGGAGGCCAGGGAGCACCCAGGAGACTGTGGCCAGTGATGGTGGCAAGGCTACCCTGTCTCTGGGGGCCCAGGGGACTCGGACTTCTCCAGTGCCCCACCTGTGGCTGTCCCTGGAGATGGAGAGTGACAGCTTGAGAGGGTGAAGTGCTTACTTGAGTCTTCCCATCTGTGGCTCCTATCCTGGGCCCCACGTTGCCAAGGAGACAGCATAGTCCTGGGAGTAATGGTGCTTTTTGCTGTGGGCCAATAGCCTTGTAGCCTAGGTATCCCCCAGGGCCAGGATGGATTGAACAGCAGCACCACGTAGGTGGCCATGGACTGGATTCTTGGGTACAAATGACCTTTCCCGGGCTAGAGTTTGTCTAGAACACAGGTGATCTCTTACCCCAGGAGGTTATCACGACCAAACTGTTCTTTTAATTCACAATGATGGCCTGATGAAGCCTCACACCCGCAGAGCCCCGGCCAGCTCACAGCCGCAGAGTCCCAGGCTGCCTTGGTGGGTGCGTGAGATGCCATCTGGCTTGCCCAGCGTAGGCAGCACGGTGGGGTGGTCCCCACGCTGTGCCGATGAAAGGGGGCTTCGTGGGGTGATGGAATCTGCATGAAAATCAGAGCCTGTAGTGTGGGTGAGACTGAAAGGACTTGAGCAGAGAGCTTGGATTTGGGTCTTAATCATAACTTGCTGTGACAATCTCAGGAAGAATCCAAATGTCAGAGCCAAATGCATCAGCAGAAAGACAGATGGGAGTTTTTCTTCCTCACTTAGCTCATCGTCTTGAAACACAGCCCCCTGGTTTTCACCTGCGTGGAGCAGCTCAGCCGGTGGCAGAGGCGGCGCGTGGGCGGCTGGAGAGATGGCTGGGGACTGGGCCCGGGCAGGTGGCTGGCGGGAGCGGGGATGCCCATAATGCTGTCTGTCCATTCCAGATCTGGCAGGGGATTGACATCGAGACCAAGATGCACGTCCGCTTCCTCAACATGGAAACGATTGCCCTTTGCCACTGACCCACTGTCACCTCCTTGAAAAGTGGCCTTTGCTAGGGGGCAGCCTCCGTGTGGCCCAGAGTGGCCGAGGCCTTTTGCTGCAGCCCTGTAAATAATCAATGCTCATTGGTTCATCTCATGTCCTGGCTGGTATGGTATGTGGGACTTCGCTGTTTTTATTTCTAATAATAAAATAAGGTTTGTTAATGAACATGGCTCCTGTCTGTCCCTCGAATCCATTAAAGCGGGCTGGTCGTGAAGAGTGAGCAGCGGCCAGATCGTTTTCTAAGGCTGGTTTGCAAGGATTGATTGCCAGTTTCCGCCTTTTCCACCCAGAGGGGCTGGAACGTGGGCCATGGCGCTCCCTCGAGGTCATGGCCAGTCCTCACACACATGGAGCCCCTTCCTGTTGGTTGGTGGGATGGCTGGTGGGTCCCCAGTGGGGGACCTATGGCTGCCTGTGGCACCTGACAGGACGGGGCTGCATGCAACCCCAGGACTCTGGTCCCTGGAGCAGCGAGGAGGCTGCTTCAGGCGTGCATCTCTGACAACTCCGGCTGTCACCTTCTGAATCAAGGATGGCTGTGGGGCAGGAACGTGGTATCTCACTTGACAGCGGCTTCCCCTCCCCTGCACAGGTCCCTGACTTGTGGCTCTGGGAGAGTGTCCCCTCGCAGTGCACAGCTCGTTCTGTTTGTTCTCCTGGCCGGTGACTGGCAATCCCTTCATGAGCCTTGCAGAAGGTTGTCCGGATAACTGCCACTTGCTCCTGTGTGTGCCTGTGTTTCTCTAACGCGGACTGTGCTCTTGCTTGCTCCCATCCTGGCCTTGGGTTTCACAGAAAGGCAGTGTTGTGTCCCTATCCCACCCCACGGCCAGCCGTCCTCTCCCCTTCCCCAAGGCGGTGCCTTTCGGAGACTTCTGCAGCTTGGTCCTGCAGACGCGAGCAGATTTGTGTGTTTTTAGGGCCGTTTCTTATAAGTGGGAAAAGCAGGTGCTTACCCACATTCTGCACATGAAAGGGACCCAGGACATCTCTGCTTTCCTGTCACCCTCCGTCAGTGTGACCCTCCTGTTCTAGCTCAGGTTGTCCTTGAGTGCAACTCACTGTCAGTACCTCGAGCCTCGCACTACGTTAGGGCACGGTGGCTCATGCGAGACCGCAGAATGAAGGGAACTGCCTGGGGTGGAGCCCTGGACAGGGTTCGCACTGAGGGAGCTTTGGTGGGTCCACTGGCCACCTGCCTGTGGGTATTGTCATAGCTGGGTGGTGGCAGGCCCCGTGTCCCCATGGTGCTGTGCTGTATGAAGTGTGCTCCTCTGCAGGTTCCCTCCACGTGCCTGCCTGACAAGGTGCCTGAGGTGATGTGGTGGGACATGGACGAACACGTGTGGTCCTGCAGAGGTGTCGGAAAAGACGACTTCCTGCATACCAGGGGGTCCACAGGTTGTGGCAGAGGCTGAGCTGCAGCTGGGATTTTAGAGGTCAAGGCTAGGGTGAGCTGAGGGCCACTGGAAGACTGCCCAGTGAGTGCTGCTGGGAGTCGGGTGGGAAAGGAGTTTGGGGAGCCCTTGTTGTTTGGTTAAGGGCACAGTGAGCACCTGGCAGCCAGGGCCAGGTCTTCACTGTCCCTGGGCCTGAGGAGTGCCGGGCAGTGGGTGAGCCATCACCCCCACTCCCTGGTGGGCAGGTTAGGGGCAGTGTGGCTTTGCCCCCTGGGGACATGAAGACAGCAGTCTGTGAGGCTTCTGCGTCTACGTCATGCCCTCATGGCACTGGCTGGCTGGAAGGGTCAGCCCCCTGCAGACTTTGATAAGCAAGGCAGCTTCCTGGGGAGGGTGAGCTCCCCCTGGAGCCCCTGCCACGCAGCATCTTGGCCTCCTGGACGCCAGCTGGAAAAGCTCCAGGTCACTAAGACAGCACGGTGGCGATGTGTCATCCCTGCGTGCCCGCACAGGAAGCACCACCTGGCCTCCCAGGCGTTCCCGGGGCTCGCGTGGCTCTGCCGTTCTGCTCAGCAGCAGGGGACGCTGGCAAGCCCACTGCGGGCCTGGGGTTCCTGGGACTCTCCCAATTTGGTCTCCTCAACAAAGGCTGTGCACTGATGCAAAATGTTTTTGTAAATAATGGAGAGTCTTCCATCAGCCTGTGCGCTCAGCGTTTGCTGGGAGAGGTGGGTGCTTGCTCGTGTGCCTGCTGCGAGCCCGGCTTATGTCTTTGAAGCTTTGGGCCACAGCTTATCTGCACAGCTAATTAGAATGAAACGGATTTGCTGCAAGCCCTGTGCACACTGTTCAGAAGAAAGCTCATCTGTTCACAGTCACTGAGGGTGGCATCTCCGTGACAGGACGGGGGCTCACATCTACCAGAGCAGGGGCTGCAGAAGTCACCGAGCGCTCCTGCCTGGCTCTGCGGCCCTGGTGCACTGAGGGGTGGCTATCAGCAGGCGCAAAGCTGTCCCCAGGGGAGGCTCATTTCCAGCACCTTGTGGGGCTGCTGGTGTCTGACCCTCCAAGGCTGAGGGTTGCTACTCCAGGCACAGGTTGGGGATGGCCCTACCGTCTGGACAGTGTGGTCTGCATGGCAGAAAGGACACAGGTGACTCTGGAAAGGCTCCTATACATGCCGGACAGTTGGCCATGCCCAGGAAGGGGTTTCTGGCAGCACAGACCCTAAGTGTAGCCAGTCCCTCCGCCCTGCCTGGGGACATGAACCAAATGACAGCCCCTCATCTGTGCTGTGTTCAGAGACAGGCAAGTAACGAATCAAACAAGTGGGCTGGCTGGCACCCTTCCTTCCACGGAGACTACCAGACTGAAGGGACCAGGCGGAGCTCAGTGCCCAGCTAGGTATCTGAAGGGTGCTGGCCTTTGAGGACCACAGGCTGGAGATGGAGTCTTGCACGCGGGGCAGGGTGTCACGTTTTCCATGTTCTTGCTGGGAGTAATCACATCGAAACTGTCTAGTCTTGACTGCAAGTTACCAAGGGGAAAAGTTGGCTTTCGAATGTTAAAAGAACATGGTATTCTGAGGCAAACCGTTAACTTGGTGGGTTTACAAAAGGGCTGTGTAATGGAAATCTAGCAGGAGCAGCTCCGGGAACCTGCAGCTCGTTGAACATGAATTATGGATAAGGGAACGGAGCAAGGTTACTGCAGCCTCCCATTTGGACTGCTTAGGGAATGAGTCGCTGGACTCTTAACAAAACCGTTCTATTTTCCTCTGGTCCAAGGCACTGTGCTCCGCTAATGGAAGAGGGGCATCCACAGACCTCCTCCTTGTCACTGAGCGGCTGAACCTGTCCCCACCTACCTGCCAGTCACGAGGCTGATGTTGAATTCTGCTGCGCTGGAAATGGCACTGTGTGACTCAAGTAGGCTGATGAAAAGTTAAAAATACAAGTTGCCTTGGCGAGGGTTTTGCAAACAAACACCTGCCTTTGCAGGCTGCCGTCCCACGGGTGACCTTCGGAGGGCCAAGAAAGCTGCGTGGGAAGAGCCAGGGTATCAGCCGGTGCCTGTGTCTGTCAGACTTTGCACCAGTGCCAGCAGGTTCGGGGTCAGATGAACACGGCCCGGAGGACTGAAGCGGTGAGGGCTCAGCGGCCGCCCAGGCTTCTAATGCGCTCTCTGACCAAGTCAGCAAGGCACAAAGCTTGGGCACTTAGAGTGTTGGCACCTGACGGGCTGTGCCCGGCAGCAGCTTGTGGCTGTTACCATCTTAGAGGACTGACAAGGCAGCATTTGCCCTCACACTGGGCAAGGGAAGAAAAGATTTGGCAGGACAGGCTTAGCTGGGAAGAGGTGGGGTTTTTTCCTCCCTTCCCAGGGAAGGAAAAGGTCCTCAGTGCAGAGCACATGGCTGTTCAAGCCTGTGTGCAACATCAGAGGCCAGGAGCAGGCTGGCGCCCGCGTGGCACCCACTGGAGCCTAGCGGGAGGGAATCTGCCATCACACATTAGAGGCAGCCCCTGTCCAAGTCGCTGCAGGCCCCGCAGCAGCAGCCAGGTAACCATCTGGCCTGGCTACGCGGGTGTGCCGCGGGTCTTTGTCGCTTGAGGCACTGCGGCCTGGGCCGGCCAGCGCCATCAGCTCAGGACTGCTGCAGCTGCTGTTCAAAGCCACACCCCTGGTCAGGAGGGAGCAGCAGCTCGGCCAGAGCCAGTCATGGCCTCCCCAGTAGCAGCGATGGTTTTCTGAGAAGGCTGCACCCTCAGCAGCGGGAGCTGCTTCTCCACAGCTCTGAGCAAGGCTGGCCTGCAGCACTGTCATTCAGCAAGTGCAGTGGGAAGTGATACCTCCCTGAATGTGGGGCGAGCTCCCAAGGGGGAAAGGACCAAAACTCCACTGCTGGGCAAATTCGATTTCCCTTTGGTCAGCTGAAATGTGAGCGGTCAGCCAGGGAAAGATTTCTCCTTGGTGGGGAAGGTGACACTGTCCCTGCAAAGACGGCCTGGACCCAGGCAGCACGAGGCCTGATGGACAAACCCAGTGCACAGGCAGAGAGGAGTCCCAGGGAGGGGGCCATGCTCCCTTCCAGACAATGACAGATAACCACAGTCCCCAGAGAACGCCCGTACGCAGGGCTGCACATCCTGCGGTGAGTCTCTTGGGTCCTGGGCTCGGGGCCCCTCTGGAGAGCCAGCACCGTGCTGTCTTTGGGATGGCACTGTGCGCCCTGCAGAGCGGAGGACCACCAGGATGGCTCTCCTTGAAAGAGCATTTGTCTCCACTTTGGCTAAACCTGGCCCTAATTCCATGTACTGATATGTACAGAGCTGCGTAGGATATTTCTTTACCCTTTCATTTGGCTTTAAGCAATGCAAATGGATCCAGTTGAGGCACTGATGTGTAGTCTTTAAAGCAAAGACAGGCCAGTGATGCCCCGCCTCATATGTGTGAGCTAGGCTGAGTGACACCGTGCTGCAGGCAGACTGAGGCTCCAGGAAGAACCCATGATGTCTCTGCACGAGGGCCAGACATCAAAGCCGAAGCACCGACCCAAAACACAAGATACTCCCTAGGCTGTTACGCAGATTACTTTCTGCCTACCTCTCGCTGCATATTGCAGAGGTGCTATTATGTCACGCCTCCTACCAAGGCGAGCTCAAAGCACTACTTCCTGCCATTCTCACAGTCACTCATCCCCAAGCCACTCCCCCTTCAGGAATTAATAAAACGTTTGGCCCTGCGTGGAGGCCTCTGTTCCAG